TTGTTACTAGTAGCTTCTTGTTACTAGTAGTAATGCCAGGAGCTACTAGTAGTAGTGCGAGGAGCTACTAGTAGCTATTTGCTCCTAGTAGTAATGCCCTTTGTTACTTGTTACTAGTAGTAATGCCAGGAGCTACTAGTAGCGTCCTTGCTCCTAGTTGTTCTTTTTGTTGCTCATGTGTTTTTCCTTTTGTTGGCCGCTCGTAGGGCTAAGTTACTGTAGCTCCTAGGTAGGACGCAGGATAGCTCAAGCTTCTTCAAGGAAGCTTCCCCCGCCTGAGGCCGGGGGGAGCTTCCCTGAAGAAGCGCTTGCAATATCATTTGGTTCCTAGATTGTTGAAAAGAAGTGCTTTCTTGGCCTATACTTTGTAAGGTCCAGACAGGGTAACCACTGCTGTACATCCTTCGCGTTCCCCGCCAAGGGGAGCGTCACTCAACCATTGCATGGGTGAATGGGCAAAGCCGGCGCATGATTTAGCAGGGGGCTATGAGTTTTATGTTTCCCCAAGAAGACCGTGTGAGGTACTCAAGCCTTCTATAGGTCAGATTGATTGAGAAGTTGAGACTTCCACACTGTCAATGGTTCAGCTCAGACAGAACCATGAACATGGATAGATTACCCCTTTTTCGGGCAAGCAAACCTATAGTTTTGCTATTCCATTGGAACACGAAACCGCTGGTCTCCTGCGGGTGTTTCTGCTGTTGGAAGGTGTGTTCTGTATTTGATAAGCTCAGCGTGACAAGTGCCAAGCCAATTGCTGCAATATAGATGTCGGATATTTTAACACACCTGGAGATTTGCAAACCCAAGCAGCCAAGCAAAACACTCAAAGAATCAGTCATGCTGAGGTTGTTTCCGCAGCTTCTGCAAGCATGCGTCCCAGTCAAACCGCCGTAGGCTCAGTCAGACCTCAGCCCTGTTTGTTGCTCTGGCCGACGAACAAGTCGATGAGTTTCCCATGCGTCCCAGGGCATCACGTCACTTCAGAAGGTCAAGCGGGCACAGGTCGCATGAAGAGGAGCTTGTCAGAAGCTGCAGAGGAGCTCGTCTTCATGGCCATATCTGGACCATGGTCAAGCCGTCTCATCTAAACCATCTCTTGTATTCTTGCTTGAACCCACGTGCGAACTCGGCCACCTTGTCACTGTCTGGCCCCAGTGGAGATAGAAGTTTGATTTGATTATATAATCTTGAATCTGGAATAACTATATAAATCACAAGAATAAAACCGGGCACTCTCACGAGCCAACACTCCACCTTGTAGTCCCAATTGCGACCTTCTCGTTTCCGAAATATGCGATCCTTCATGTCTGATGGGAGTTCGTCAGTGTCCTGGTCGGGACAAAAAAGACAAAGAAAAAATCAAAGATTGAGACTTGTTGAATCAGTTCAATGTTTAAGAACATGTTAACTTGATGGTGCTCGCCCTGTCCTGAGACCAGGTGTCACCGTTTGGGCGAATTACAAATCCTGGTGGTTGTAGACCATAATGATCCCGGCCTTCAGGAAAAACATAAATGAAGTCCACGATGGAGCCTGAAACAAGGCAAAGCAAAAACGAAGCAACCTCGCGGGTCCAAGTGGATGACAGTCGACGGGGGGGGGCATCCGATCTGCTCTGAACTCGACAGTTGGAAGTGCAAAGAGCAAAGTCAGCATCCTGGACTATCTGGGTTTCATCTGACTGTCTAGGAGGACAATAAGGAATCACAAAAGGGAGATCCTGGAAACACGCACGCGCACGCACACACAAAAAATAAACGCCAAGAAGATTTGAGGGATTGACTGGGAGATCCCAAAGGCATCTTTGATCTCTGACACGGACAAATATATAGCAAGCTTGGCACTTGCTTGGCCTGTGGACTTGACTTGCACTTCAGCTTCGCCCAGCTCTCCCTTCACTTGCCAAGCCAGAAAGGTCTCAGTCACACCTCGCGATGCAAAGGGCGGTCTGACAGTTGAAGGGACGAATCCATATATAGTGTCACACTAGAAAGAAAACACAATAGATGAAGAGAATGAGAAGCGAACTATCAAGAACACCGTTTAAATCAGAAAAACAACAAAGTCAAGTGATATCGTGGAGGAAACAGTCTTGTTGCGGTGTCGTGACGAATGATCGAGGTTGGTCACTCCTGTTCTGGAATGACTCATGGGAGTCCACACTCTTACAGTGTTTCAAGGTTATGCCAAGTCCTCCGCACGTCTGCCCTACCGTTTAAATATCCTTTTGTTGATGGGGAAATAACCGTTCCACCAAGTTACAGTAGATCAAAAAATCGAATACTTTGACACATCAACGGTTATTAGTAATGGAGGCCCTGGCCTCCAAGTTGGAGGCCATTGCTATTAGGTTGGAGGCCATCGCTAGTAACTAGGTTCCTTTACACATAAAAAAAGGCACCCCCCACCACAGCCTTCGTGCAAACGGTAGAGCACATGCTCTGGCTCTGCCATTGGTCGGACACGTGTGCCAAGCCACTCATGAACTCTGGGGTGGGCTGCCAAGGCACTCATTGCCAAGTCAAACCTTGGCTGTTTTGTCCACAGACCCCGGTGACGGAATGTTTCTCCACCGGGTTCGACCAAGGCTGGCTCTACCCCAGTTGCAAGGCTCCCAGCCAGTCTTGTTGCCTCTCTGCGTTCCCGCAAGCTGTGGGTTTGTTTGGGGAACCAAGGAGCAAAGTCTCAGGAGAATGATCTAGATCTGCATCATGGGCTTGTTCCCAGTCTTTGTCTCCAACACGGCCAATGTACTGAAGATTGCCTGCACGAATCTGTCTCATCACATGAAGTTCGTGATGCAGCCAGGGGAAGAGTTCACTCTTCCTCTTCTTGAGTTGAGGAGGTGCCTGGGCGTAGGCTTACACGCCTGTTGAAGGTGAGTCGTTTTGTGGATCCCAAACCCTGTTTGGCGTGTTCAACCAAACAAGCAAAGCATGCTCTCTTCCAGTGTCGGGTTCATATTTGAAAAGCCGGCTCGCATCTTCCGTATCCAGGCACACCACTACAAAGCGACGCAGACTGCGAAGAACTGCCCAGATGCAAAAGCCAAAGCTGTAGCCATAGAAGCCATGGACTGCACTTCCAATTCCGGCACCTGTCATGGCTTCAGAGCCGAGGTCTACACGAAGAAGACAAGAAGACTGCAGTCATGCTGCATTTATCCCAATCCTTTCAATACATGGTCCTTGTCAAATCAGTTGGTCCCATATTCCATGCCCTCTTGCAACCCTTGCACCTACCAGCGCGAGAGCCCCAGCATCGACCGGTGTTCCAGCAGGTCGATTTTTCCGTGGGGCTCCAGTGGCAGTCTCTCCTTCCGTGCTCGTCCAACGCTGCAGTGCTTTGAGGCCCAAAAAATCCATCAACTTGAGAAGCTTCAAACGGAAAGAGCTGTGGTGCCACATCTCCGCCTTGGCTTGGAGATGATTTGAAGAAAAGAGCTCGTGTGGCATGTTCGTTAGAACCTGAACGGCCTAGCAGTGTGTTTCGTGCCCTACGGGTCTGGGTTGGTCTGAAAACTGGTTCAAACCATTCTTCCTGGGTGTTGATTTCACGCTGAGGCGCAACGCCTTTGCGTTGTATCTCTGCAACTTTCTCCTGTACGAAATCGAGAGTCCTCCAGCAAATCTGTTTTGCACAAATATGCACAACCGCTTCTAGGTTGGAAGCCATCGCTATTAGGTTAGAGACCATCGCTAATAGGTTGGAGGCCGTTGCTATTAGGTCCTTATTAGGTTGGAAGCAAAGCCTTCTTGCAGGTCTTAGCCCTTCCCTGTTGTACCATTTCCTGGTAGGGTGCACAGGCCAGCTGAGTGGCGGGTCACGGGCGGTGTACGGCATACGATGCAGGTTTTTTGGCGGGTTTGCTGGTGGTTCCGTTCGGATTGTGGAAGCCACGACTTTTTGAGGTGGGAATCAAATCTATGAGATAGGAACCGATTTGTTTCTTCTCGGAGACCATTGCGAAGAGAGTTTTGGGAGTATTTGGGAGTAGCGTAGCGGACAGAGGTTTCCAGGAGCTAAAGATGCGACAGCAATGCAAAACGATGCGACACGACACCACGCATATCCAGGTTATTGTTTGGTTTATGCTTGTGTCCGCTGCCAAGGTTCTGCGTGGCCTAGGCAGTCTTGGCAACTGTCCGCCGTGCCACTGATTGCACAGGGAATGGTTTGCCATGTTTTGCGCAGGAAGGGTGTTGGTGGCAAAGTGCTGGATGAGTTCGAGTGCCTTTTCTTTCATGTTTGACTTGGCTTTTGCTTTGTGTCTTGTGCTTGGTTTATATGTGTTGCACAGCAAGCTTGGCGTCTACCGAGGAGTCTGAGGGACACTCACTGGTGTGACACTTAGCGCTCCTTTATGAGAGTCCCATCCTCCAACAGTTGAACATTTAAAGGTGTTCTTTCATGAGTTGTCTACTCCGATTTAAAAAAAAAAAAAAAACATTTTGGGTGACAGGTGTCTTCCTTGATGAAAGCATTATCCAAGTATTTATTGTCCTTTGGGTGAAACTTTCTTTCTTGCAAGAATCTTCTCATTTCCAGAATCGGCACTTTCCTTCAAGTGCGAACTGATGCGAAGCGTTGTTCGCGCTCGGGCTGCATTCGGTAACACAGTGTTGACCTGGTGAATGCATTTTGATGCAGACACCGGTTAGCAAAGCAAAAAACAAATGCTTCAAAATCCAACTTCTTCCCGAAAAGCACATGCGTGCCTCGCCTCCAAGGAATCTCTTGGTTAAATAGAATTGTGAAGCAATAGGTGTCATTCAAGACAACGCAGGGCTTGCAAACAACTTCTTAAAACCTTGGGGAGGAAAAATGTTTACACCCAGCAGCGGGAAAAGCTCTTACTAAGAAGCAAAGGTATGGACATATATAGGTCCTTTGATGGACACCACCTTGGTCTTTTGTAACCACAACCTCTACAGGACACCTTCTTTTTCATAAACACACATTTCGCGAGCCAAATGCACACAAGGCTTAAAACACCCTCCTGTATCATCCTGTATTAGCATCTGAAAATTGGCCATCCATTGGTTGATATCATTTTTGGGAAGAAGCTGCCTCCCAAATGTCATATACATGATCAAGGTATCATTAGCAAATGTGGTTAGTTAGTTTAGTTTCTTTGGCGACTTGATGCACCTTCTGCTTGTACTACGTGTGTTCAGGGTTGGAAGAAGTTTTGTATTGCAGGCTGCGGGGGTTGCAGTACAAGTCTTGAGTGGCCGGAGACCTTGAGGAGGGCAGGGGATTCGGAGTACAAGGGTAGGAGAAAGAAAGAACAACAGAATCACCTGCACATGTCCAGCAGGTAAACTCTGCTTTTGAGGTAATCTCTGTTCGCATTAAATTAATGGATGTGTGCTAATACCCCTGAGAAAAGAGAGCTCTATGACCTCTATTTATATGGCGACTTTCAACTTCAAACTACACCTCCGTTTAATTAGATTTAATTACGGTTGGCCGATTTAACATGATTCAGTCGGGGTCGGTCACGCGCCATTCTTGAGTGACGCACACTGTTACAAAACTATAAACATACACTTTGGCGAAATACGGTCTCCATGAAGTCCCTAGGTGTTTGACCAACCCGCGTAACACATGTGCATTGAACGATCTGTTTCAACCACTGGTATGCCTGTTGGGAAGACAGCCTAGGGCCTAGACCTTTGATGCACATTCTGAAGGTGTATATCTATATGGTTTTTGTTGATTCAAAAGTGGCCAAACAAAAGACAGCAAATCAGTTTGCAACCTGCCTCAAAAGTCCAAAGCTTGAAACGGACTCGAAAAGCTGGTCTCTGAGCCCGAAAGTAGAAGCATGTAAAACATTGTAAAACATACAAAAGTAGAAGCATGTGAATCGAGAAGTGCAAAAAGGCCACGAACGTGTGAAGAAACGCCACGAAAACTCCGAGAAGTCGAAGCGTGTGAAGTCGAGAAGTCGAGAATCGTGTGAAAGTGCAAAAAAAGGAACGAAAAAGGGTACAAACGCGCCGCTCGAAAGGTGCGATTGGGGTTGGCAAAAACTGAAAAGATCTGAAAAGTCGAAAACAGCGCGATCAAAAACTCTAAAAGTCGCAAACGAAAACATGCGAACACGTCGAAAGGTAGGTGATGAAAGGTGAAAAATCAACGAAAAGTCTGAAAGGTGCAGTTGATTAGTTAGGGGTCAGCTGCAGTTGATTTCGGGTGAGGTTAGTAGTTGGGATTCGGTTCCATGGATGGACTCAACACCGTGGATGGATGGATGGATGGATGGATGGATGGATGGATGGATAGTTTGGCTCAACACCGATGGATGGAAAACAATCAGTGGACATATGTATTGAAGCACTGTAAATGAACCTGTCTGCACAACAACAGATTTGGCCTGGGATTGCCAATCAAATGCCAGAGATCCCAAGTCAAATGCAATTCCTTCTGAAGAATGTGAAAGATCCAAGTCTTGAAAAAACACCTGGCATCTTAACTAATCTGAAATTGTTTAAACAAATAAAGACAGCAAAAAAACAAAAGTAATGTAAAGGTCAAAAAATTCAGAGAAAAACCTGGCATCCGAATCCGAAGAGCCGAGAAGTGCGGAAAATCAGGAACTGTCTGACGTCTGATTGTTTTTACCTTTTTCATGTGGTTTCATTTTGGTTGTGAGGATGACGGCTTAGTGGCTGCTAGCTTTGGTATGTTGCAGGGGAAACAATGGCATTGCCTTGGTGGAGCAGCAAGTCATAGATTAGATTGTTGGTCATGAAAGGAGGGAGGGGATGGACACAAAACATAGGTTCTAACTTCGAACATCTACCTGAGAAAGGAGAGGACGAAAGCCAGCGAGAGACCAATATGGTAATGCAAGACTGGGAAGAAAAAATAGCGGAGCACTTATTGTTGAATGCCTGTAGCTTCCGTGGAGCTTGTATCAACCTGGAGTAGATCAAGATCGGAGCACAGCATGAAGTGTTGAATGTTTTAGGTTTTGTCGATTTTCCTGGCGCGGTGCTCTCTGGCGCGTCCGTGTTTGGTGGTCTATTTGAGAATCCGGGAAAAAAACGTCAGTGCTGTTGGGGACTTTACTTGGGCTTATGCCACCGATCCGCCCAACATATAACCATAAGTCGCGGCTACACCTCTCGTCCCAGAGACGTAGAGACACAGAACCATAGAGACATAGAGACATAGTCGGAAAACACAGAGACATAAAAAGACAGAGAAGTTCCTATCTACACGGGCTCCGTTTCTGAGAGCAACTTGTCGCTGCCAACCAACAAGCATACTTGCCCCAAGACATCCAAGCAGACTTCTCTGAAAGGACGACTAAGAGGATGGTGCCTCAGCATTGGCGTCACCAACCGTCATCCAAAAATATTGCATAGATCCGTGACTATAACCCATCCTCAAACAGCAATCTCTTCACCCCACCAAGTGCTATCTGCACGGGCCCCTTTTCTGATTGAAGTCCAGCAACGAATGTAAATTGCCCGGTCGTGCATGCTTGGCCCGGACATGTCGATATCCTTGCTTTTGAGAGCTTGACTCAAGCGATGGGTGCAGGATGTCCAAGGTTTTGGTGTGCATGCGTTAGGTTCGTACCCAACTAGCCTCATACCTTTGCGTGCACGCTGACGTGTCTCACCGTTCCCAGGGAGTTCCCAGAACCATGTTGCTGCCTGCGCAACTGCGCGCAACGAGGATTCCGAAGCTCGAAATGGCTACATGGTTCCACAACAGCCAATGGCCAAACCGTGCATTGACTGTATTGACCCGAAAAAGTCGAGCCACCACTGTGAACATAGCCGCACAGCCGTTACTGCACAGCCATTATTGAACCAAGCGTTTTACACGTCAGTATGGGACTTCCAGGGCTGGTGGATAAACTCCTGCACCAGCCACTCTGAAACACAGTTTCGGCCAAGACTGCCCTGCCTCTTCCAGTATCTATCTATCAAACCAGCTCTCTCTATCTATCTATCTTTCTTTCTATCTGATTCTATCTATCTATGATCTATCTATTCTGTATCTATCTAGCTGCGCGGCCAAGCCGGAACAACGTTCGGTGCACGTGGACGCCGCGAGAAGCATCCGCTCGACCGAGGAAACGGTACAAGTATAGTAGAGACTAGGATGGTTGCTCTGTACATGGGTGCCTGTCTCCACTCCAGTGCTCAATGCCCATTGTCCAAATAGCCTCCACACTTCGTGATGCTAATGATGCACAACTCGGCGTCCATTGCATCACTCGCATCACCAGATCCCATTTTCACTGCTTTTCTGACCCTCGCTTTGGAGCGCTCTCCCCTTAACTCACTTCGTTCGCTCTAAGAGCTCAAGCCTGGCCTATCGGCTGGCTTTCGATATATATATATATATATTAGTATTATTTATATATACAGTGTGCAAATATAATATATATATATATATTTATACAGTATTTGAAATTACATGAACATGGTGTCGCAACGAATGTGCGACCACCACACAGGTCTCTGAGTATCCCGCGCAAATGGTGCGCACCACTCCCACATCGTGGAAGGTGGCACGTGTTCTCTCTTGTCTTCAAAAAAGGGTGACTGCATAGGAAGACAAGAGAAAACACGTTCCAAGTAACCAAGTAAAGGTTTTCTAAGAAAACCATTCTTCCTTGCCTTCCTAAGTAAAATGCTAGCACGTGTCTTCTGCAACGTCTCTTGGCTCCTGAAGAATGCTGCATTGAAGCGGTCGTCAAACTGCTGATTGGCAGCCACGAGCTTTAGTCGAGATAGCTCCAGCAAACGATCAGGCGGCAAAGTCTTCAAGTACTGCAAGGTCTTGAGATGTTTCTTGGTCCAAATGCGCAACAGTTGTTCCCGCTCATGGCTCCAATCTTTGAGCTCAGCCCCCAGAAGCTTTGCTCTTCTGCTCAGCTTCCGGAAGACGGACTGCGGTGCAACACCAAATCTTCGAATGCCTCGAGGAAAGGTAGGCCGCACTGCACATGCCAGACCAAGCATCAGTTTTCCAAGAAAGGCGTGAAGGCATGCTACTTTAAAAGTGTCTACCAATAACTAACAAAGCTATATATGAAAACAAGGAAACTGAGCAGGTTTATGGCAAACCAATGCTACTTGCAGTCCAGGAGTGAATCCACTTCAGCGAAAAGTGCGAGACATGTTTGAACTGTGCCAAAATCCTCAAAGATCTTTACTGTACAGAATCACAAAAGACTACTGAAAGCCAGCTGTATACAGTATGTATCAGTACTGCACTTGAGAAAGTACAAACTGCAGTTGCACCTGGAAGTGACAGAAAACTCGAACTTCCCATGTGAATGCAAGCACAGACTGCAAGCTTCAAGTCTTTCACTTCCTTTTGGTGGTCTCAAATCTTGTGGTGTCGTTCTTGTGAACGATTTATGCTTTGACACGTGACACGTGTTGCTTTGCCACGTGTTTTCACGTGGATACTTTTGTACACACTGCTCGCAGATTGGAGCAACTAGCAACTGATTTACCACACAAGGCACGAAAACAAAAGCTCGGATTCACGAAACTACAGTTTCGGATCTCTCTGGGAGAACCTTGGATGTAAACAACACCAATTTTAGTCCAACACTCCAACACACAAAGAACAAAAGTGGGCGGCCTCATGTCCGAACTCCGATGGTTTGAGAGTAATACCGTCGCAGAGCGCAGCGCGCAGAACTGAATCCAGCTTTTGAAGGCTCAACGGCGAAGAGCCCCCTCAAGAAGTTGGAGATATTCTCGACGGTGCATGCACCTAACGACCAAAAAAGGTACACGGTCGCCAACGCTAGTTACAGCCCAACTGCTGCCCACGGTCGCAGTTTGTTTCCGATTCCATTTGATGACCATAGTATAGTTGAGTCAAGAGTATCTTAGGACATGTTCGCGCCATTCAGAACTGAAACTGACAGGGAATACGGTTGATCCGGAAAAAAACGGTTGCGCAAAAGTGCCACTTCCGTGGCTCCTGGCCACCCATTTCAGCTGAGAAGCGTGGAGCGCAGCTCATCACGAACTTCCAGATCCTTCACCAAGCGCTTGCTGGCCGCCTTGCAAACACGGCAAAGGTAGAGCTACAAACTACAACTACTTGAGTTCAGTTCCTTTGTCCTTGAGACAAAGGAAGTGCATTTTGAGAGGTTCACACAGCCCTCAATGACTCAATCCGTGTTGCACTATATAGAATGTGTGTGAGAGTGAGAATGGTTCAACTCCGTCATTCCACTTGTTTCACGAGAGAATTTGTTAGTTAGTTGGGGGTCAAAAAATACCAGCTGTGGTGGAACACCTCTGCAATCTGTTCGAAGGCATACGCCATAACCACCTGAGTCCCAAGTTCAATGCAAGTGGCTCTCAAGTCGAGCCCAAGGAAAAAGGGGCGACAAACAGCTGAGCAAAAAGGGAAACGTTCGGAACGACAATCAACTGCGAGCATAGATATATAATGTTGTTTCTACAGGATGGCTACAACATTTCCAACAAGACTTGTGGAAACACATGCAACGCTGTTCTTGAGGTCCCCACTAGATCTTCATCAGCGAGCTGTTGCAAAAGCCCCTGTCAGGCGAACCACAAACCGACACGCAAAGAAGTCTTGTGAAATTGAGGCCTAAGGCTACAAGGTGTTCCTCTGCCAGCCCAGCTGATCTCAATTGTTCTACCACTCGACCTGGTCCTTTCACCTAAAACATCATGAACAACCATCCCAGCAAATCCAGTGCGGCAAGTACGGAGCTCAGCAACAGTTCGTCCCTTGAGAAAGTTTGCTTCGGTGGAACTCTGTCCCAGTCCTCCGTGGTGATCTCTGCACCAGGAACCAAGGTGTTTACCTCAGCCAAGTCGGACAAGAAGTTAAAGAACCGGATAACTCTACACGTCTAGCCTTGCTCCTGTCACAACATGCCGAGCGAAAGAAAGAGAGCGCAAAAACAAAGCCACGTGTAGAGCGGATGTGAGTTGAAGTGAGCAGAGTGCGAAAGATTTGTGCAGAGTTGATGTGTGAGTTGAGCTGAGTCGGCGTGAAGAGGCTTGAGTGAGATGATCTAATGACGTGACCGCAGGGCACAGCGACATCGCAGATGCAATTTGGCCACATGGTGTGCCACATACTACAGTAGATACAACAATATAATACCAAGCCTCCTGGACACCACCAACCTGCCAGCTCCCCGGCGACACGCCAAATTTACACCAGCATGGTTTCCTTCCACTAATGGCACGGACTCAGGCAAACTCACTTTCCACCGAGGCCGCGCAAAACCGCACGGCACAGCGACATCACAAACGTAGTTTGGCGACACGGTGTCTACAGCACAGCCTCTACCAGCCGCGGAGACAGGCGCACCATGGCGATCGACACGGACAGGGAGGTACTACAGCACAGCCACAGCTTCTAAGAGCCACGGAGACAGGCGCGGCGACCAGGGAGCCTACAGCACAGCTTCTAAGAGCCACGGAGACAGTTGTGTAAGTCGAATGAGTTATTGTGAGTTGACTGTGTAAGTTGAGTTGTGTACTTAAGTTTGTGTGAGTTGATTGAGTTGTGTGAGTTGAGTTGTTGTGTAAGTTAAACAGTTATGGTTACGTAAGAGGAGGAGGCGGGAGGAAGGAGGGAAGGAAGGATGGAGTTGCCGCAACAAAAACAAAAAAACACACATAGATGTGGAAAATAAAAGACATAGACTAATCGACCTGAGTTTACATTGGATCATGAGCAAACATGTCATGGGTGATATGATACAACTATATACATGAGTACCGTCAGAATGATCTACTTGGCCTCTTCTCGCCTAGTGATTTAGTGAGTCACCCTTCGTTCTACAGGGTTTGTGAGTTTTTCGCACTCCCACCAAGTCAGTCGGGCATCCAAAAGGAGCTGCACTTACGGTGCGGTAATCTTGAGTATACATGAGGATACTACATGTTAAATCATATATATAAACACGACCACAGTTTACTTTTCCCACGCGTTGCAGAAAGTTTGTCTACAAAAGCAAGGAACTCATACCTACAATTACCTCTCGGGGCCCTGACTCTCTGTTCCCTCGCCAAACCGACAGGAACAGAGAGCCCCCCAGTATCCCCTGAGGCCACATCCGCCAAACCGGATGTCCCCCAGGCTCGGATACTTTAAGAGAGGGAAACCATCATGTGACTCACTCCAGTCTTGTAATGTGGTTTCATTGATTTCTCACCCCCGAGAAATCGAGCCGCGGATTCGGAAAAAAGAAAAACTCAACCTTTCGGCTTGCCCTTCTTCTTAGCTCCACGTCCCCCTGATCTGCAGGGCCTTAAAGGCTCTGCTGGCTCAAGGGTTGGGCTCTTGCGATACAAGTTCAGGTAAGGAACAAGGGATGAATTCGACAGAGACATATCTGCTAACTGCGCTAAACCGTCGTTCAAAAATATACGGGCGGTACGGGCAGCTGCCCACCGCCCCTGGACAAGGAGGGCGTCGAACGATCCGTGGTGGTTAAAGTGGAACGTCGCCCCACCACGTCTTAAACTGTAGGGTCTGAAATGCTGGTCAGTCAGGTGCAGTGCATCAATGGCTCGAGCAAATAACGCTCGCCAAGCATGAGGTTTGAGAGTTAAAAAGGCTGTTGGAGGATTTGTCTGTTTCCAACGCCACAAGGCTGGGAGGATGGACTGCTCACGCAGGCTTACGCTTTCGGCCGCCCCTTGGCGCGCGCCTCCCTTAGTCAGGCCTAGAGAGAGCACGGCCGGTCCCTTCGGCCCAGGGATGAACACATCCTTTGCCCGTAGGCTCAAAAGTTCTCCTGTGCGCAACAGACCGAAAAACGCGACACGCAGCGACAAACCAAAGGTGGTGCATTCGTTAAAAATTGACCGCCCGCACAAACCATCCAGAACCTGAAGGGTAAGTGGCGGCGCCCGATTTGGGATCTCCACCGACGTCCAGGCTTTCAACAACCGCCAACTTGCAGGGAGCTTTCGCTTGAGAGACGGATCCCGGTCCTGGAGAGCTGCTAGAGTGTTATTGGCAATCGACTTTCCCTCGCCTGTGGCCCAAAGATGTTCAAGGTAGTCACTGACCAAGCCGTCAAGGAGGTTCTGCCGCTTTGGGAGGACTAAACCCTCCCCTGCTAACCAGTCAAAAAATCGATTTAAGCAGTCTGTATATCGTTCTCTTGTACGAGGTTGAACTGTGAGCCCTTTGAGCGAACCTAACTTACTTCGGACTTTCTTGCGCTCCTCTTGACTTCTTCCTTCCATCACTTTCGTGGTCTTTTTCCCCATTTTCGATGTAACGGTCTCCGCGACGGCCGATCGGCCGGGTTCTGGTGTGTGTCCACGTAGGCCCACACACCAACAAGCCCACTAGCCAACTGAAGCGCTCCAATCCTACACAAGGTTCTTCTCAAGCGGCGGCTCGACGATCTCCCTCTCGACAACGCATGCAGCACCACAAGAGAATCGATCAAAAGTAAAAAGCGGCATGCTCCTTCCTCAAGCTCTTTCAACCTCCAGACGATGGCCGTCTTAACAGCACGCAGTTCTAAGGCGTTGATGTGCTCTGCATCACCTGTCCAGCGCCAACCTGCCACATCTTTCCATCGCCAAAGCTTGCTGGGGATCGAAGCCCGTAACCTATGGTATCTGGCTGGGAGATCCGTGCCCAACTGAAGCAGGATGTCTTCTCCCTTGACGGAAACTTGACCTAACAGCCGCGGCACCAGCCCCACGGGAGGTGCCCCCGCCTTGGTGGTTTGACGAATGGGAGGTCGAAGCAACAGGCTTCCAAGGTTCTGTTCTTTTCCTGGCGTCAACCGTAAGACAAGCGTCTCCACGTCCAGGGCTGGCAACAGACCAAGGGTGCGAAACAAGCAGTAAAGCAAGTAAACAACCACCGGAATCGACCAACTGTTGCCCAGCAAGCTGAGCCGACAATCATTGTGAGCTGGCTTCCCTTCCATGCTTTTGACCATGCGCCGGCGGGTGTAGTCCATACAGAAACCAAGAATGGCCTCTCTCTCCTTGACTGATGGAACCCGAACTTGGCCTGCG